GGGGGTGTTGTAGGCAAAAGGTGGCATATACGCTTCAAACACCCAACCTTCTGGGCCAGAGAGATTTAACAAACTCCTGTCAGGCAGGGAGACCTTGTTGTACTGGGATTTTTTTCCTCCTCGGCTACCATGGTGTCTGAATCAACACTGAATCAACAGGGAGACCTTGTTGTACTGAAATGATTTTTTTCCCCTCCTCGGCTACCATGGTGTCTGAATCAACACTGTAGTCTCCCCCCCCCCCCCCCAGTTGTCCCCCCCCCCCCCCCTTCCCTCATCCAATCTTGTCTGTCTATAACTACAGCTTTTGACTTTGAAATCTGTGGCACTTTTCAACGGCTTCTCAGTGAGGAGAGGCGTTAACGGTGGACAAGTCAGCCTGCTCACCACTTCTGGTTGGTTCCTGCAACATGCAGGTGTAGGAGAATGGGGTTCATCCTGGTTTCGGTGGTCATGAGACCTGACAGGCCTGGGCCACACACCTCATGGACCATGTGTGCACCCTGAAACAGTAACCCCTTCTCTAGAACTCTCTCTGAATACCCAAGGGCTCCTTACCAAGCACATTTGATGTGGGAAGGGGTATTTTTCCTTTCATTGTGAAAAGTTCTGAATACCACCGGTGTACATAATGTAACAGTGCTAGACTTAATGACAGTTGTTAAGTTGGTCTGTCATTCAGTTGGCTACTTGCTCCCTTAATGTGACTGGCTGTTTTGTGGTCCACTGGTGAAGAAGACGAGATCGGATTTATACCCTGCCCTTCACTACCCAAAGGAGCCTCAGTGCAGCTTACATTCTCCTTTCCCTTCACCTCCCCATAACAGACACACTGTGAGGTAGGTGGGGCCGAGAGAGCTCTTTCGAGAATTGCTCGTGAGAGAACAGCTCTGAGAGAACTTGTAACTGACCCAAGGTCACACCAGCAGCTGCATGTGGAGGAGCGAGGACTCAAACCCGGTTCTTCCAGATTAGAGTCCACACTCCTAACCACTACACCAGATTGGAGCATCCATGCCTTATCTTTTTTGGCTTGGCGGTTCATCTCTTTGTTTTTGGTTTTCCGTCATCCTTCATCTGTTATTTTCCTCACATCCTATGCCTTTCTTTAGTCTGAACAGGGACTGTAATTTCACACCACGTAGGTGGCCATTTGATTATAATAATAGTACTTTTAATAATTAGTCCTCTTGAGAGAGATGACAGTGCTTCCATGTTATTCTACATGCTTAGGAGGCAGAAGGTTTTAGTACACATAAACAAGCTTGTTCAGTCCGTGCATTTTAATTTCAAGAGTTCTTCTCCAAGGGGTTTCAACTTGTCTCTCTCCCGAGTCCTAGTTCAAGGCTCTAACCCCGGTGGTACTCCCTCCATGGTGAGCCACGTCTGCAGTTACAATCAACCAAAAGAGCCACACTTACTTGCATCCCTGGTGTAAGGCCTGTGCCTCAGGTAGGCCCACAGCTTACAGGTTCCTTCAGCAGCTGCTGTTTCAAGGTGAGAACTGCCTGCCTTCCACAAGCCCTGCCAGGCCAAGGCCGTGCCCATCTTCTTGAAACACAGGGGCAGGTGCCACATTGGGGAATGGTGCTCAAAAGAGCCACAGGTGGCTCCCAAGCCACTGAGGATTACTGACCTGAGCATGTGATCCCGCCAGCTCTTTAAAACATACCTGCCTCAGAGCTGTGGAGAATGGCAGGGATTTAGTCACACAAGGCCTCAGAGCACCTCCCTATTTCTGTGTGTTTTCCCAGCCAAGGCCACACTTGTTAATCCTGAGGGAGGAAAGCAGCATTATGAACGAACGTGGATTTGCACAGGCTACCAGAGAGCGCCAACATTTGTGGATCCCTGAAGAACATAATATGAAGTTCTTTAAACTGAGACTCTTGGTCTTTCAAGGTTGGTGTTGTGACTGGCAGCAGCTCTCTGAGGTCTCAAATACTAGCAGTTAAAGAAACAGGTATGAGGAGGAGTCACAGGCAAAAAACAAGAATAACTCCCCAGAGACAAAAAATACCAGGCATCAATGCACGAAACTACAGTCCAATTGAAATAAAGGATCATAACAATCACATGTAAATGCACATGAATCTAAATTACATAGATTCCACAAGAAATTACAGATATATTTGACACAGTATGAACAACAAACTCTATGAAGTATAAAGCTGACAAAGACAATGTGGCTGAATAGAATAATGAGCGTGAGTTTTAAAGGAGACGCAAAACAGTCACGGCACCACGGTCTATCATTCTCTTCTCTAGAACTAAAGAAGGCATCAGAAATGCCACTGCAGTTGTTTATCTCTTCTGTGAATGGCGGCGCGGCCAATGATACGAGTCATTTCGGAACCAAGCCTTTGTCAAGAGGTATAGATATTGTCTTCCAAAACCAGTAAAATTCAAAGGTGCAATGACTATAATAGGAATAAGAGACGGAGCCCAATAGCCTGAAGAAGTCTGAATCACAATGGAACACAGTGTAAATGGTTTGATGCTCGGGCAGTGGTCTTTCACATCATGAACTATATGATTCGATTGAGATGGTTGGGGAATGAGCCTGGGACCTTCTGCATGCCAAGCCCCTGAGCCACTTTTGTGGCTGAACTGGTGTGGCTGGCCATGGTAGGTTGTGGTAATTGAGGCAGGGATGGGACTCGTGGATTCTCAGGCAGGAGAGGGGGAAGACCAGGATTTGTGCAGATGGTGCATTGCCGCTTAATTCCCAGGCACAAGATGATCAAGTGGTGGGCTCAGTCCTTCCTGCCCGGCGTGTCACGGATTGTGGCTGGATATCGGGGACCGGATGGCTCCGTGGTGGGACTGGAGACCTTTGAGACCATGAAGATATTCCAGCTGATCAGGGTGAGTCTGAACCTTGAAGGTGGCTAGGAGTTCTCAAAACACCTTTCTCTGCTGTTAACGCAGGGGTCCCCAACGCGGTGCCCACCGAGTGTGTTTAGAAAGTCTGTGGAGGGGTCCCCAACGCGGTGCCCACCAAGCGTTTTTAGAAAGTCTGTGAGGCTTTTGCTCAGCAAGGCTTCTGATTGGCTGTTGGAGATTCAATTGGCTGTGCCGATTTTTAAAAAAATATTGCTTTGGCACCAGCTGCCTCCACAACACGAGGATCTTCACTGTGCGGTTGAAAGTAAGCTGCGGCAGCTGCTTTGTGGCTGGCTGTGCCTCCTGTAGCAGCCGGTTTGCCACTGCGCTCGCCCCACTGTGTCTGAATTCCAAAGGTGCCCACAAGCTTCACGGAGACCTTGTTGGATGTAGAAAAGACAGGCCTTAGTCGCATAGGCTATATGACTACAGCTGTTCGTCTATTTTAAGCTGTTTTCTGTACTTATTTAAGGAGGTCAATCAGCCTGAGGTGAGTGGTGCGAATCCACCCGGCACTTAATAATGCTTTACCTCCTTTTCTTTTTCTGGCAGGAAGACCCAGGCTGCTGGAAGCCGGCCGTGTGTATGAATTTTTGTGCAGCCTTCCTCAGCTTTGTCAAGAAAGTGGTGACGGAGGACAATCCAAAGTGAGTGTTGGTCAAATATCGCGCAACCGCAGTAGGCGCCCAACAGCGAACAAGCAGTCTCGCCTCATCTCCTAACTCTCTCCCTCACCAACTAACTAACAGGCTAAAGTTAACCTTACTGAGGGAAGCTGAGAAACTGAAAATGGGAGAAGGGGTGGGTAGGTGGTTATAAAAACAATTACATTAAGGCCGCAATCCTAAAAACACTTTCCTCTGAGTAAGCCCCATTTAATAGAATGGGACTTACTTTTAAGTAGGCCTCTTGCTCCCCTAAGCAGGAGGAGGAACTGCAGCTTAGCTGGTACCATTCAGAAGAAGAAGAAGAGATTGGAGTCCTTCACTTGGAGTCTCAGGGCGGCTTACAAACTCCTTTCCCTTCCCCTACCCACAACAGACACCCTGTGAGGTGGGTGGGGCTGAGAGAACTCTGACACAAACTGCTCTTTTTCAAGGACAGCTGTGCCAGAGCTTGTGACTGACCCAAGGTCACATCAGCAGGTGCAAGTGGAGGAGTGGGGAATCAAACCCAGTTCTCCCAGATTAGAGTCCGCGCACTTAACCACTACACCAAACTGGCGGTTTAGAAGAAAAAGAAGAGTCGATTTTTATATTACGCTTTTCTGTCTTAAGGGGTCTCAAAGCGGGTTACAGTTGCCTTTCCCTTCCTCTCCCTACAACAGTCAACTTGTCAGCAGTGTTCCCTCTAAGCTGAGTTCATGTAAGCTAGCTGTTTTTTAGCCCCCCAACTCACACATTTTTGTCTTCGCTCAGGAAGGATGGCTCCAGAGCAAACTAATTTAGGCAGCAGCCAAATTGTTCGCTCACAGCTTTAAGGCCAGCAGCTCACAAAGTAGAATTTTTGCTCACGAGACTCCACAGCTTAGAGGGAGTATTGCTTGTGAGGTAGGCGGGGCTGAGAGAGCTCTGAGAGAACTGGGGCTGGCCCAAGGTTGCCCAGCAGGCTTCATGTGGAGGAGGAGTGGGGAAGCAAATGCAGTATTCCAAAATTAGAGGCTGCCACTCTTAACCACTACACCACGCTGGTTTAATCCCTGGCAGCTTCAGTTACGTGATCGTCGTTAAAGGCCAACCTGAGACGGGTGAGCCAATGCTCTGACTTAGTATGAGGCAGCTTTATAAAGAAAAAATTAAAAGCAAGAGTTGGAGGTTGGTGAAGCCGTACAGGCTTCAGTGGGAAGGAAATTTGTGAAGGTGCTGTAATAGGAAATGGATGTGTGTGAGGAAAGAACACACCTCAGTATATGTGTGTGATGCTTGGCAAGATTAGTACTAGCAGAATGAAGGGAATGCAGGAAGGTAGGAGGGCAAAGAGAAGGGAGAGTTAACACAAGACCATTTACACAGAATCTAAGAAGATAAAAGGAATTATTTCTTCACTCAGGGTGGTGAACACATGGAATTCACTGCCACAGGAGGTTGTGGCGGCTACAAGCATGGGCAGCTTCAAAAGGGATTTAGATAAACATATGGAGCAGAGGTCCATCAGTGGCTATTGGCCACAAGGTATAGATAGGGACTCTCAGTCTGGGGCAAGTGATGCACTGTATTCTTGGTGCTTGGGGGGGGCAACAGTGGGAGGGCTTCTAGTGTACTGGCCCCACTGGTGGACCTCCTAATGGCACCTGGTATTTTTGGCCACTGTGTGATACAGAGTGTTGGACTAGGTGGGCCATTGGCTTCTCTTATGTTCTTATGATAAGGCAAAACAGAAGAGACACTCGAATACGAAGAATTCAGAGTGATACCTTCCTCTTGGCTCAGAAGCAGGCATTAACTTGGTTGCACTTCCCTTCCAGATTCCCTAACACGGTCTTTGCTTCCACTCCAGGCTGGTCCATCTCTTTGCTTGGGAACCGGGGCACCCTGTTTCCTTCACTGTGCACCGTGATTCCGAGTACACCTTCTTGCCCGACTGGTACGTGGAAGCTCTGAGCATGGAGAAGCCCCCGACGCCCCAGATCCCAGACTGATGAGCTCGACCTCGGGGAGAAGCTGGTTTTTGGATCGAGAGCCGGTGGGCCCAGCAACCCAGGGTGGGAGAAAGAGGAGAGGATGAAGAGAGACTGAAGGTTGGATGATGGGGTAACCTCCACCGCTCATCCCCCCCCCCCCCATGATGAAACTGGAGCAGGGCAATAAACTGGGCTTTGTCTCCCACTGATGGTTGTGGAGCTGCTTCTGTGTCTTGTTATTAATGACTTTGGAATAAAGGTTTGGCTAAGTCTGTGGAGGTGGGGTAACCACTTGGTGGCTATTAGCTGGCGCTGCATCAAATAGGTGACTCAGTTGCCCGTGCGCGGGTGATGGAAGCTGGTCATGCATTGGCATGGTAGGAAAATCCTTCTAGTTTGCTTTATTGCATAAATTAGCTGAAAGAAACACCAGCCTGATGAGAACTAAATATGCCAAGAAGGGATGGAATGTTGAGAACTAAATATGCCCAGAAAGGATAGAATGTTGAGAACAGCTGAGAGCAAAGGAGAAGTTGCAGTGGGAGGAGAAGAGAAAGAAGTGGTTCAAACAACTCCCGAGAGCTTATTGAATCCTACAGGAGGGGAATGAATAAAAGTTGTTCCCTCTCCTGTAATTCTTTGCAACACCTTTACTTGGTCAACTTTTGAGCGCCAAGTGTTCAGGATGCCCATGTGGGTGGTCATCTGCAACAGGTAGGATGTTGGAGCTGATTCAGCAAGACACTTCTTACGTTCTTCGGGGGAGGGATAATCATAGTAGAGAGATGGCCCCGAGAAATCAAAAAGGCAAAAAAAAGAACACCCCAACTGTACTGCTGCTTTGAAAGCCAGAGGGGATAAGGGCAAGACTAGGATCCGGGAGTCCTAGGTTTGAATGCCCATTCTGCCCTGGAAGCCTGCTGGGTGACCTTGGGCCAGTCATGTTCTCTTCACCTACGTTACCTCAAAAGGGGAGAATATAGGAAACGATGATGTAAGTTGCTTTGGAGCCCTCACTAGGGAGAAAAAGTAAAAATATATAAAGGTACTGAGCAAACACTGCAGAGGAGCTTGAATTGAATTGCTTCAGCTTGTGAGAGCCAGGCTGGCCAGGGGATGGTGTGACAGGGAAAAAAAATGAAGCTACAAATGTGGTAAATACTTGGGCCAGTCATGTTCTCTTCACCTACAAAAGGGGAGAATATAGGAAATGATGATGTAAGTTGCTTTGGATCCCCCACTGGGGAGAAAAAGTAAAGTATTAATATATAAAGGAACTGAGCAAACACTGCAGAGGAGCTTAAATTGAGTTGCTTCAGCTTGTGAGAGCCAGGCTTGCCAGGGGATGGTGTGACAGGGAAAAAAATGAAGCTACAAATGTGGTAAATATTGGAGCACTGGCATTTGCCTACTGGAGACGCATGAATAGTGAACCAGTGGAGGGAGGGTTGGTTGAGAAGTGTGGGGCTATTTTTCACCCTAGGAATAAAAAGCCGAGAATCTCAGGAAACTGAATTCTGAACCCTCATTCCAATTCTGTTTCTATATTTTTGGAAGAAGCCTCAAGCTGACACCCCCCCCCACCCGACCAATCATAGCTTAGCCTGGCAAACCTCTCAATTTCAGCCTTGGCCTCTCCATCCTCCTGACTCAAGCGCCTCTTCCCTTTCTAGGCTTGGGAGCCAGTTTGGTGTAGTGGTTAAGAGTGGCGGACGCTAATCTGGAGAACCAGGTTTGATTCCCCACTTCTCCACATGCAGCCAGTTCTCTCAGAGCAGTTCTCTCAGAGCTCTCACAGGGTGTCTGTTGTGAGGAGGGAAGGGGAAGGAGATTGTAAGCTGCTCTGAGACTCTGAGTGAAGGGCAGGGTATAAATCCCAACTCTTCTGTGTCTGAAATGGCTTCTCCCTCATTCATTGAGCGTCAGCCCCCAGATTAAACACATCAGTGTCCAATGCTCGGAGTCTATCAAAAAGTACTAGCCATAATTGGAATAGGTGCCTTTAAGGACTGCTCTTTCCAACAGACATGGGAAACAAAAGGGAGGGCGTTTTTGTCCTGGGCTCATTTGTTGAAACCGATCACCAAAAGCTTCGACGTGCTACAGCCTGTTTTTTGAATGCAGCCCTCCTCGTCTCACTTTATCCTCTGCATCCTTCCATTCCCCAGCAGGGATGTTTGCAGATGGGAGCCCGAAGTTGACATAAACGTTTAGGAGAAAGTCTCAAGAGTTTTCTTAAAATCCACACTAGGGAACATTCTTACACCAACACAGCAGCTCTAATTGTTTCCTCTAAGCTGAGTTAGTGTGAGCTAGCTCACAGTTTTTTAGCCTCTGGCTCACACATTTTTGTCTTCGCTCAGGAAGGATGGCTCCAGAGCAAACTAAGTTATGCAGCGACCAAATCGCTCACTCACGACTTTAATGCTATTGGCTCACAAAGCAGAATTTTGGTTCACAAGACTCCACACCTTAGAGGGAACTATAATCCACAAACTGTGCAACTCTGAGAACCTGTTGCTAGAAGGCATTCCTTTGCTGACAAAACAAGGTGTGGTTGAAGAGTCTATCAGGATTGAGGTTCCCCCCCCCGGAATATCACCCTGCCCCCCCTTTCAGGTATTACTCTGGTCCAAAGGGATTTCTCCCCCCACACATGCCTGTTGTACAAATGAGATTAATTGATCAGCGGAACAAAGTCTGAGTCCAGTGGCACCTTCAAGACCAACAAAGTGTTAATGCGCACACACTTCCTCAGACACAGTGAAATGGAACTTACCAGAGCATATATATAAGGCAGAGGTTGAATGGCAAAGTAAAGGTAAAGCTTTCCTTGCTCAAAAGCCAGTCGAATCCAACTCTAGGGTTGTGGTGCTCATCTCCGTTTCAAAGCTGAAGAGCCAGCGCTGTCCGAAGACGCTTCCGTGGCCATGTGGCCGGCATGACTAAACACCAAGGCGCACGGAACGCTGTTCCCTTCCCACCAAAGTGGTACCTATTTATCTACTTGC